CATTTCTTCTTAAAATCTTACCTTGGTGTGGAGACTTAGAGGTTCTCAACTTTGAGAACTTGGAGAAACCAATTCTTCCATCCAAATCCATGGAGCTAAGAAGCAAGGAATGAAGGCCCTATCTCTTGGGTGATTATCCTTTGCTTATGCAAAGAGGAATCAACAAAGGTATAAATTTCTCAACTCACTTTGTTTTTTAGTTGAGTCTTGGTTCACCAATCTAGTAGGCTTTGAATTTCATGGGTAATGTTTTGTTTTGAGTGCATATAAGCATGATTCCGCCTTTTAATTGTTAATTGCATGCTATAGATATTGCTCAAATGAACATGTTTTCACAAAATATCCTTCAAGGACTGCACTAGACTTTCTATGCTCTGATTAGGAGCATTTACACTTGTATCTTACTCCTAACACTTCTTGCTTATTAGTGCACATTAGTAGCTTTCGGTTTTTATTTATTCGTACATCTCTTATCTTTATTGTTCTGCACTGTGCACATGGCTACATCACCTTCACGTGACGGCCAGCATGCCTCGATCTCGATCAGGGTGTGTCAGTATATTTAGAAACAATTATTGAGTTTTACCAATAATTTTGCTCAAATTTTTTTTCTTGATTTTCTTATGAAATTTAGGTTTTTGAGTAATGGGTTAGGAATTAATTCTTAATCAATGATAGGTATTGAAGTTGAGTTGCAAATAGTGTTGAAAGTATTAGATGATCTTAGTTGCATGAGATTATTGTGTTTCGAATCCACCAAATTCATGTCAAATATAGTGATGATTCTTTGTGTACCTAAATATCTTTAATGGAGGATGAAATTGGTTTTTGGTATTACAATTAATTCGTGTTTCTTTTTATTGAATTGTATAACAATTGATGAAATTTGAAATAATTGATGAAATCACTATGACGAATTGCGATACATGCTCGGAAATTGCATAATTTATAAAACTTAAAAGAAGATGGTGATAGTTTGCAGTGAAATCGAATTGATGTACTTTTGAACTTTCCTTTTTCATTTACCAATCGTAATCGAATTGATGTAATATTGATCTTTCATATTATGAATTGATTCTGTATAGCCATTCGTAGTGATCAAATATGATGGTAATGTTTATACCAAATACGACCGATGTTTGCCAAGACACATCAAATTGTCTTGACAAAGACGCATCTCGGCAATGTTGAAATTTTGATTTTTTTGAATTACGACTAAAAGAAAAACCTTCAACTATTTTCATCATGTAATTTATGTTTTTGCAGTTTGTTTAGGAGCAAGGTCGGTTGTCGAAGCACAGTTTTTTTACTAACACAAACAGAGTCTTCACACCAAATGAATGGGAATCAGTAAACCGTCAGATTGTGTTTTATGGGTTTTCATATTTGAATTAGTTCTATTATGTTTGCAATGTGAGTTCCTGGAATGGTTTGGTTCTTCTTGGACCCTGCAATGAAAGAAGGTTATTGAAAATCTTTTAGTAAGTTTGGGGCGTTCGTATTTACTGAAATTTGTTGCAAGAAATTGGGGGATGAATTTGGTTTCAGGGGAATGTTATCCTTTTTTATTCTTATACTGCACAGAAAAAAAAAAAAAAACAAGGCATTGGGTGCAAATATGTGTTTTTTTATCATTTATTTCTGTAGTATGAAACTCAATTGTGTTTTTGTTGCTGCAGTCGCGTTACACTTACTCTTGGTCTACCACCAGCATTGGTCTTTAATTCACCATTAAATGCGGAACCCTGCCATATGGTTAGAGAGGCTTAGAGGTGAATGGTTTTTGCTTTGAACAAGTTTTTTGGAAACAATATTGTATGAATTTTTTATATTCTGACAAGCCAGTGAAGTCAAGTTTTAATGATTTTGATGCATATTTGGTTTATGCATATTTTATTAGTGATTCTGATGCCACCAATCTTATCTCAATGGATCACTTTTGACATTTAATTCAGTTTCTTTTGGTAATTGTACTTAATTAATAGAATTTTAGATGTTTTCATTCTCGGTTCATTTACTTATTGAATGTATTAATCTTCTGCAGATTACGACTTACATTTTGTTGTTCATCTGGTTTTGTTTTTCCTATTTGTAACACACCCTGATCAGTGGCTACTGGCTACCAAGCTTACTTGAAAGGGTTTGGCATTTTAATTAGCCTGAATCTACTTTGAAAATTACGTTTTATATACCAGTATTCCCAATATATTGCAATTTATTTCATTTCTGTTATTTTTTTAGGCAACTGAGCACCTATGTACAAAGTCGATTGCTCAATTGCCAAAATATACCAGGCCACTTGAAACTATGCAGGTAAATGCATAGCTGAATGCCTTTTTACAGCATATTCTCAGCTTTTTAATTTATTTTCAAACTGGTCTTTAATTTTTTCAATTAGACTCATGAAGTTTGGTTACACACTTCATTTTCAATTGTACAAATTAGGCTCATAAAGTTGTTCAAAGATTTCCAAGAGCTTGATTCACCCAATTTATACATTTCATGTAAAACTTCTTTCAAAAATCTAAAACATTTTTTGGTGTAAATAACTTTAACCATCTATGCCAATCTTTTATCCCTTCTTTTGATTTTTTGTTGCATTGTTTGGGTGGTGAATTGCATGAAAAATGGGGGAAGAGAGGGGTAAAATTTATTTAATTTGAGCAAAATGTAGCATTTAAGCTTGGTTGGTTAGTGAGGATTAGAGTCAATAAGGAATCCTCTGTCTTTATCTAAAATGTGAATTCATTGAATGATGGATGATGTAGTGTAAGAGAAATTGAGAAAGTAAGGAAACGACGGAAGATGAAAATTGAGAAAGTAAAGAAAAGACGGAAGATGAAGCGACAAATATACGACAAATAATAATGATAGATAAATTCATCTATGTCGGTTTATTAAACTTGGTCAAGCAGACCTTTTGTTTTGATTGGGATTTAGTTTGGTACTTTCATTCTAATTTCCATAGTTTATAACAATTAACCAACTAAAAGTGCTTTCTTTTAATTGTTGTCAATTATATTTGGCCAATTGACAATCCTACGAGATTTAGTTAGGCACAGATCAAATCTGTGTATTGTACATGTACCTAAAATATAATGCTAGATATCTTTTAATAGTTGGCTCATATTCTATAAAAAGATTTAAAGTACTCTCTCTCTGCATGAAAACTATGTATCCATTTCATCATGTATTTTTTAGTAAAACTATGTTTTTGTAATTTTTTTGACTGAGGAGGAGAAACAGAGGCTAAAGTACCTTCAATTTGTTCAAGAAGCTTCAACTTATGCCGCAGTTTGCTTCCTAGACCTCTACGGTTAGTTTCCATACAATATGTTGTGTGTTTCATTGTTGCAAGTTTGTGATTTTACTTGCTACTTGATTATAAAAGTGTAAAACAAAATCCGTCCATGATTACAAATTTGTATTCGAGTTTAGACGTTTTTCCAATGTAAGGCATATGTTGCACAGGCATGTGAATTAGGGGTGGGTTCGGTTCAAATCGGTTCGGTTTTTTGCCAAAACCAAAACCAAACCGAAATTTCAGTTCGGTTCGGTTTGGTTCATTTTTTTTCGGTTCGGTTTTTTCCGGTTTGGTTTCGGTTTTTTTTTTTTTTTCAAAAAATGAAAAACTTTGAAATTTTAAGTTTTAACAGCTCCAACACAATTATAACATAAGCATTCTAACTATAATCAAAGACAATGAAAATAAACATTTAAAGTTGAACTAAAATCATCAATCAAGTCTTCCAAAGTCCAAACTAACAATCTCACAACATAAAAATCGTACAAATGACTTAGAAAAGTTAAATTGTATGATGTTGTTCAAAGATCAGGGTTGTTTGCTTGTAATTGTATGTTGACAACTTGATTAGTAAAAGTAATGCGGGGGTAGATTTATTTAGTGTGTGTTGGATTCTTTTCCATCACAAATTACGCAAGTAATCTACCCGAAATAAATGTTTATGGATTCTGTTACATGTCATATGAGAGTAGATTTGAAAAAGAAAGCTAGGGCAGAAGTAGACAGTGCTATGGAAATGGATGTAGGTACTTCAGGAGGAGGTTTGGTTCCGGAACCATATATGGGGGAGAAATAATAGGTTAGGGTTTAGAGTTTTTATAGGCCTTTTTTAATATTTTGAGCTTAAAGTTTGGCAACATATTGGGTTTAGCACATTTTAACTTACAAATTTGGTTTAGGAAATAATACCCAAAACAAATAATTAAATAAAAAAATTAATGTAATTAATTCGGTTCGATTCGGTTTGGTTCGGTTTCTATATCACTAAAACTGAACCGAACTAAAAGAATTCAGTTCGGTTCGGTTTGGTTTTTTCAATTCGGTTCGGTTTTTTCATTTGGTTCGGTTTTTTCGGTTTCGATTCAATTCGGTTTTTGGTTTTTTCGGTTTTCTGTTTTTTGAACCCACCCTTAATGTGAATGGTACAAATTAATTGTTTCTGGTTTTGGAGAGTAAGCTTTTGAGTTTTACAATTCTTGCAAGAGGATTGCGAGTCAAGTGAACAAATTTAGTGTTTGGGGGATAAAGTTTTGTTCTCTTTAATACATAATATAACAAAGGCTTAGAAATTTTCCTTGAAGGAATATGCAAATGTGTTTTCCGCATCTTGGCTTGCAGTTTATGTGAACAGGCATTAATGTGTGTTTTTGCTTTGATAAAATGTGTGATATTTGTATTGACGCATTTAAGGGTGTGGTTCCCTTCCTACCGCTTTTTTAGTGCATATTTCTGTGCAAATTATTCATGCCTATTGCAACTAATACATTCAATTTATGGAGCGAAGTGCGGGCATATTTTTTAGTCTATTCTAAAGTTGAGTAGGGATTTGACTGTAGCTAAATGATTGGTCATCAATTTTGCTTTATTTACACACTGCCATCATATCTCTGGCTGGGTTGAAGGGTTATTATCAAAAATTGGGAGGGCAATTTTGTCCGTTGGGTTTGGGGTAAGGCTTGGGCTGCTGTGTTTGGGGTTAGGGGTGTTGTCGGTGTCACAGACAGGTTTGCAGGGTTTGGGGGTGGGTGTAGGATTTCAGGGAGAAAAATGGGGAGGAATTCTGGGAGAAAAGGGGGATTGAGCGGTCGATTTGGGGAGAAAGAGAGGAGAGCGTGATTTGGGGATTAGGTGAAAACAAAGCAGCTTCGAATTACTCAAATCAAAACTGACTTTGTCCGCAACCTCTGCTTGCTTGCTCCCTTTCTCAGTCGGTGAGTTCTCTCTCGCCCTCAAATTCAGTTCTCTAATTTTTCAATGAAAGTAAAACCAGACGGTGCGAAGCACGGCAAACGCAAAGGCTGTGAAGAATTAGACGACGACGACTCTCTCTCCTTCCTCAAAATCCAGGAGACTGGCCTTTGTTCTTTTCCTTTCAATTCCCAATTTCCCAGCAGCATAGGGTTTATTCCCGCGCTTTTTCTTAACTATTTTTTTTTCAAATTTTCAACAATTCGTTACCAAAATTTGATGGTATGGTTATGGACTCTATCACCCACTTTCTGTTTCTCAAAATTGTTAACAGTTTTTTTATGTAATTTTTGCTTTTTGTTGTGGAATTTTGAAGGACCCTGAGTTATTTGTCTGTATTGAATCTTGTTACTTCGAAACCTTTCTTTTAGTTATAAATAAGAAGTGTGCTTACGTTTTTGTCACAGATCCTGACGAAAACTATAGATCTGTGTGCATCTGCATCTTCAGAGAATTCTAACTGTTGTTCTGGTGAGAAAATAATCTCAAAACTTATGATGTAGTGCACTTGGCTGATAATTCATTTTGATTATGTATATGCAGAATTAGTAGCTGAGAAAATAGAATGGGGAAGTATACAAATGGATTTGATTTGATTCTTGGAGCTGACATATATATCCACAATTGTTCATTTTTATCATGGTTAAGCAGCATGACTATATTATTTGCTACTAACTGAGAGAGTGCACCTGCAATTCAAGCCTTTAACGCGTTCTTTATTTTATTTTTTTATGTTGAAAATCATGTTTTCGTACCCTATGTTTCCACCTTTAATTAAGGAAGTGGTGAGGTGTTAGATCGTCTATTGTTGTGTTATCTGATTCAGTGTTTGGGTGATGCCTAAATCAGTTGTGGCTCTTGCTGATTGTTCACATGTTCTCAAGCATAAATCAATAAATCTTAGAAAAAAGCATTTTCTTTGGTACCTGTACATAGTTGAACTTTTTTTTCATAACTTTTTCAGGCGATTCTTTTCTATGATTTCAGAAATTGAGGATCCATTTGAAAGACAGTAGTACCGATAGCAATTAGGGTTTAGGTACTTTTAGTCATAATTCCTGCCTTATGTTCTCCTAATTCATCATTCCAGCGTTGTTTTCTATCTTAATTCTTGCACCAGTTGTTACTCTTGACAAAATCACGTAAAATTCATATGATTTGGTATGGTTCAAAATGATATCATGTGAAGAAGTTTCATCATTGCTTTGATATCGTGACTTTCAATGTGCTTAAGAGCTTATGTGCAGTTGCATTTTTCTCTGGGCCCTGCAGTTGATATCATGACTTTCAATGTACAAATTTGATGGTTTTAAATTTTTAATTGTGGAAATGGATTAATTTAGCACATAAAGATTGAAAACCTGTGTGTTTATGCTTGCAAGCTTGGTTTTTGAGAGGTTTTTGGTCTGGGAATTTATTTTGTGTTTATGGTTCATGTATTATTAAGGTTTTTGTTTAGTTTTATATTGGGTTGCGGATGCTTTCGGAAGTACAAGAATTTGTGCTTTTGTGGATACGAAGAATTTGTGCGTACTGAACTTGATGAGTTGCTGGCAGGTAGCAACCCTGTAATTCATCGGAGTTTAGAGCGAGTTAATTGAACATTTTAACTCAAACCCATAGAAATCTGTGAACTCCGCATTAGAATCTAGTGACCTCATCACTTGAACACTTATATATATATGTAAGTTATTGTAAATATGTTAGTCATTGTAAATGTGGTTGTAAATAGATTTTCACATGTATGTAAATAGTGTTGCTTATCGTAGGTGTTTGGTACTTTCTGCATGTTTTATAGTTTTAAAATCCACATCATCACTTGGGCACCATTGCTAGTATTGACTAATATACATAATAAAGTTTGAAAGTTCTAATGTTGTTGAATTTGTTTGCTTTTCTTATTGGAAAGGGATAATAGGAAGAATTAAATATAAAGTTGACCATTGAATTTGTAGCACCTATGACATGCCCAGATCCCGAGGTTTGAGGGACATCGGAATGGTCATGTGCTGGCCGACACCCGAGGTTGACGCAAGCCATTTAATGAATGCATATGCTGAGATCATGTGAAATATGCATATAAATTTCGCTCAAACTATATAAAATAATAAAATAATATTTAACTGCCAACAATGAAAACATAATGATAATGCATGACATATTTAGAGCATACATCTAATTCAGAATACAAGCAGAAGGTAAAATTACAATGATGTCAAAGCAGAAGAGATGGCACGATGTCACTAGTAAGGGAATGCCTCGTAGTTTGGGTCGTAATCCTCATTCCTATGTCCTGAGGGGGCGCAAAACAAATATGAGTGGACCAAGTTTATATATATATATATATATATATATATATATATAAATAATAGTGAAACAGTTATCAACATGCTAACCCTCAAATTTTAATGAAAACTCATAGCATAATATGTAATAGGTTTCCGAAACCCTAGCATGCCATAAAACCTTCATAAAACATATCTTATATATAGTGTGCTAACTAATGGTATCCTAGTCACCCGTGGTGTTCAATAATTATATATCCTGGCCCGCAGCTAACTACCATGTCTTTGTGCCCGAAGCCAACTCCTATCTTCGCCTGTAAGCAGAACAGTGACTACTAGATAAGCACAAAACATTGAATATACATTTTCTGAACATAGGTACATATATCTCAAAAACATCTTCATAGCATATAGTCATCCATCATATATACTATAAAGAAGTGTGCAAAAACATATTCGTAAGCAGTATATAGTCATCGATCATATATACTACAAAGAACATCAGTTTGATAAAATATGGTAATTCAAAATATTCTTAGTAAGCATAATGTCTCATAAAATGTAGTCATTAAATCTTGTTTTTCATGTATGCATTTATACTATTAAAACATGCATTTTATAAGGGATACACTCACAGATACTCTGTCATCAAAGAGTCGTACGAAATAGGAAAGACAGATTCGCCACTAATATTCGCGCACATAAAGCGTACAATTAACAAAACTATACTCAAACCGGTGAATTTCGAAAAACGGACGTCATAAATGGGTTCAGGACGTCGAAAAATATAAAAATGGACCTCGGGTATGGTCACGCGTCGCCATAAGGTGGCGGCTTAGCGCCCACTAGCCTCCATGGGTCGTCGAAAAAGTTACCGAAAAATTTGTCGACGCCACCAACAGCGCCAGCGTGGAATGTGGCGCGTGTGCTCCAAGTGCAAGCAGCGGTAGGCACCCACACGCTGGCCACACGTAGCTGGGCTAGGGTTTTGACTGGGTTTGGACTTGGGCCTAAGGTATTGGGCCTTTAGGCTTGGTTTACTTAGGCTTGAGCCTCTAGGCTTGGGCCTAGGATCCTAGGTTGAAAGCCCAAGTTAACATGGCCCAAAAGTCGGGGGGTTCAAGGGTTTTGGGTTAAAGGGCAAGATAAAGGTTTTTGGATTTATATAAATAAAATAGAATAAAATAAAAAGGTTTGGGCTTAGGGTTAAACGGGTCGTAGGCCCAAGTTCCACTCGGCCCGAAGGCCGATTCTTTTAGGTTTTTGGGTTAGGGTTTCAAGGGAATTGGGCTCAGATGCAACGACCTGAAGGCCCAAATCTACACGGCCCTAAGGGCCTGGGTTAGTTTTTCACCGGGGAAAGAGGCCAGAGCCTCCCGAGCTTCGATCATCGTCGTTTGGTCATTAAACTCTCCAATCTAACTATAAAAAAGATGATATAGATGAGAATGAGGGTCCTTTACCTTTGATTTACCATGAAATAGCCAAAGGTGGCGGGGTCTTGCTTGAAACCCACGGGGGTTCGTCGTAATTTCTAAGCTTTTGCACCAGTTCCTTTGGTGTTGCACATAGACAAGGGAGAGAGAGGGGTGGTCCTCACAAGTTGGTGGTGGTGTCGTGATATTTTGGGTGTGAAGGTGGGTGTGTGTGTAGATCGGGGAGAGGGAGATCCGAGAAAGAGCAAGAGAGATAAAGAACTGAGAGAGAGAAATGAGAGTTGACTCAGGGGAGGGGAAAAGAGAAGAAGGGAAAGGGGATGGGGTGCTGCCACGTGGCAGATAGAGAAAGGAGGAGAATCTTGATAGGGGATCCGGATTGGGTAATAATTCCAGGAGTACATATGTAATTTCATTAATTTTTGGTATAAAATTACATAAACTTGGGGAGAGGTTTTACAATCTATCCCTCTTAAAAGAAATTTCGTTCCTGAAATTACAACTCAACTAAAAATATACGAGTACTGGATCCTCATCAATTCCTCTGTCTCCTAAGTCGCTTCTTCGACTGCGTGGTTTCTCCACATCACTTTTTAACAGAATGACTTTATTCCTCAAGGTTTTCTCTTACCGGTAATTGATAGTCACTAGTTCCTCGACATAACTTGCATCTTGGTTCACTTCCAGCTGTTTCGGCTGAATAACATGAGAGATATCCGACATATAATTCTAAAGCATGGAAACATGAAAAACATTATGAATCTATGCAAACTATGGTGGTAACTCCAACCTATAGGCAACTGCACCAATCCTCTCCGTAATCTGGTAGGGGCCAACATATCGAGGACTCAACTTCCCTCGCTTACCAAATCGAATCACACCCTTCCAAGGAGACAACTTTAAGAAAACAAAGTCATCGATCTTGTACTCATGGTCCTTGGAATGTCGGTCCGTAATGCTTTTCTGTCGATCCTGAGCTGCCTTCAGATTTCTCTTAATTAGCTGGATGTTAGTATTAGTAGTGTCATCTAGCCTCATTAACACTTGTTCACCGACTTGTGTCCAACACAACGGCGTTCGGCATGCCTTCCCATATAGTGCCTCGAATGGTGTCATGCCGATACTAGAAGGATATATGTTGTTGTATGCAAACTTAACCAACGACAAATAACTATCCCAGCTACCCTTCCACTGGAGAACAGACATTTTCAACATGTTCTTCAAGGTCTGAATTGTCCGTTTGGACTGACCATCGATCTGTGGATGGTAGGCAGTGCTATACAACAACTAAGTATTCATAGTGGCATTAACAGCTCTCTAAAACCTAGAGGTGAACCTTGGATCTTTATCCAATACGATGGTGACGGATACACCATGAAGTTTGATAAATTATCAATGAACAGTTTTGCCAACTTCTCTAGTGAGTAGGTTTGTCGAACAGGTAGGAAGTGAGCAATCTTGGTGGGTCGGTCTACAATCACCCAAATGCCGTCAAATCTCGACTGTATCCTTGGTAAACTGTACACGAAGTCCATGGTGATATCTTCCCACTTCCATGCTTGTATCGGAAGATTCTGCATTAGCCCCACAAGTCTTTGTCTATCTGCCTTCACCTGCTAGCAAATAATGCATCTCTTCACATAATCCGCCACATCTTGTTTCATCCCATACTAGTAATATAATGGACGGATAGTGTGATATAGTTTGGTGCTCCCTTGATGCATGGCATACGCTAAAATATGGGCTTCATCTTAAATTTCCTTTTTCACTGCTTCATTATACTTAGGCACAAACAACCTATTTCCCATCACCAAGGCTCTATCCTTCCGGATTTTCAAATCTCATCTCCACCCATCCAGTACATGTCTCTTCAGGTCTGTACATTGCTGATCAAGTTCCTGAGCTTCCCTTACCATATCCACTAAGACATGTATAACATAGAAGTGTGCCAAGAAGGCTCCCTGTGAATCTGGTTCCACGGTAACGCTGGTTTCTCGCAGGGAAAATAAGAGTAGAACATGGATATCTTAAAGAGAGGCAAGTTGTTCATGAGATCTCTGGCTAAGTGCATCTACTACTACGTTGGCATGTCCAAGATGATACTTGATAGTGCAGTCATAATCACTAATAAGCTCCAACCACATTCTCTACCTCAAATTTAGTTCTTTCTGAGTGAACACATGTTTCAGGATCTTGTGATCAGTGAACATGCGGTACTTCTCGCCGTACAAGTAATGCCGCCAGATCTTTAGAGTAAAGACCACTGCTCCAAGCTCCAGATCGTGAGTGGGGTAGTTTCTCTCGTGATTCTTGAGCTGCCTGGAAGCATAGGCGATGACTTTCCCATGCTACATCGGTACATACCCTAATCCTGACAAGGATGCATTAGTGTAAATCTCGAACTCACCTACATCGTCCAGGAGAGCAAGGACAGAAGCCTGAGCAAGATGTCGCTTAAGCTCCTAGAAACTCTGTTCACAATCATCATTCCAATCGAATTTGACCCCCTTCTGGGTCAACTTAGTAAGAGGCAGGGTGATTGCTGAGAAGTCCTGCACAAAACGTCTATAATAGCCAGCTAGACCTAGAAAACTCCTCACTTCAGTAACGTTTCTCGGTTGCTCCCATATAGACACTGTCGAAACCTTCTAAGGGTCAACAATAATCCCTTCAGCAGAGACCACATGTCCGAGAAAGCTGATTTGGTTTAGCCAAAACTGACACTTACTGAACTTTGCATACAGCTGATGACTTCTTAACCTCTCCAACACCAACCTCAGATGCTTCATGTGCTCGGCATTACTTTTGGAATAGAACATGATGTCATTAATGAACACAATCACAAATCGATCTAAATACAGTCTGAAGACTATGTTCATCAAATTCATGAATGTTACAGGTGCATTTGTTAATCCAAAAGGGATGACATGGAACTCGTATTGTCTATACCTAGTACGGAAGACAGTCTTCAACACATCTTCATCCCGGATTAGTAGCTGGTGATAACTCGAACGAAGATTGACCTTAGAAAATACCTAAACACCCTTCAACTGGTCAAACAGATCATCGATCTGAGGCAGGGGATAACGATTCTTCACCGTCACTAGATTCAGTTGCCTATAGTCGACGCAAAGTCTTATCAACCCATCCTTCTTTTTGACAAACAAGACAGGGGCACCCCATGGAGACATATTGGGTTGGATATAGCCCTTATCCACAAGTTCCTGAAGTTGAGTCTTTAGTTTTCTCAACTCCGCTGGTGCCATTCGATATGGTGCTAAAGAGATAGAGTTTGTTCCTGGAAGTAAATCGATTTGCCTCGCAGATAGTAACCCTAGCAAATACTCAGGAAACACATTGGTGAATTTATTCACCACTGGCACATTTTCAGGACATAAAAAAGGTTCACCTCGTGGGCTAAGAATCCCACACATCCTTTCTACAATAACTTAGTTGCCTGGATGGAAGAAATGATACTATTTGGAAGGATTCGTCGCTCACATTGAAACGTGATTGACGGTCGTCCAAGTCAATTGAAGGTCACAAATTTCTCCCTACAATCGACATTAGTGTTGTGCTTAGACAACCAATCCACCCCAAGATGACATCGAACTCCTCAAGTTTAAAGGGAATTAAATTAGTCGCCAACAGTTCCTATTCAACTAGGACCAGGCAATCCCTATACTCCTATTATGCATAGAAAATATCTACAGGTGGCATTTGTATAAGCATATCAAAATCGAATGGTGTAGGTTACAAGTCTAAAACCCGTGCAAATGATGAAGATATAAATGAATAAGTGGCACCATGATCAATCAGAACTCTAGCCCAATTACCACACACAAGTAATGTACAAGTAATGACTCTGTGGTCCTGCCCCACCTTCTTTTGAGGCATGGTGTTGATACGCCCATGGACCTGACATCCCGCTCTACTGTTACGGCCGCCACGAGTCCTAGGGCCCTGGCTGCTACGACCCGCTCTTTTCCCCTGATGGCGACTGCCTGAAGCTGACCCAGAATATTGTGGCTGTCTCTGAGCAAAAAACAGGGTACTCTGGCTACCACTCACACCATAACTCTGAGTATTACTGCTCTCACCATAACTAGTACTCGGGTCATTACCTCTACTGTAACACGAACCAGAAGCATAATTCTCGGGTGGTGGCGCTAAAGGGCAATCACAGATATAGTGCCCAGTGCCAATGTCACATGTGGCTATAACCACAGTACAATTCCCCTAATGGTGCAAACCCCAATGCACACAAGCCGTGACTGCAGGACAAAAGTGTCTGAAAGATCGCCTCACCGACTCACTGCCTGAGCCATCACTAGATGATCAAACCTTGGCCCTGTTGCTTAAACAAGTGAGAGTGACTAGGGCCAAAAGGGTTTGAAGAGGTAGAAGACTCTCTCATACTCTGGGATTGGAATCCTCAACCCTTTTGATTTTGATTCCAAGGTCGGTTCTGTCTCCGAAGCTGGTTTTGGCTTTGAGGCTGGCTCTGACTCTGAGGCTGATCCTGGTTAAGACTGTCTCATCTCGTCTGTTCAATCTTTAAGGTCGTCTCAATCATATCCTCATAGGATCTATGCCTCTGTAATGTCAGAAGCTCGTGATAGTCCAAGTTTATAGCAATCATTAGTTGAATCATCATCTCCCGCTGGTTCCTATAAGTTCCCTCATGGTGTCTCGACAGACGCCGGAAGGTGCTATCAAACTCTATAATGTTTAGATCACCCTTGCGAAACTCCAGGAATTCCTGTCGCTTTCTAAACTGATAACTAGGGCTCAAAAAGTGTGCGCTAAAGAGTTTCCTGAATATGGTCTAAGTCATCAAGGAACCAGGTAGACGAGAGCCCCTCGTTGACTTCCACCAAAACCTCGCATCCCCTTGAATGAAGTAACTAGCGGTATTCACCCATTCAGACAATAGGCATTTCATGCTTTCTAGAGTATCCTCCATTTTCTCCAACCAATCCTCAACTTCCTAACAAGCTCCAACTATTCTAAGATCTGTAACACTGTGGCTACGAGCGATCTCTATGTATGTACGAATCGACCTGCTACTACCAAGAAAAGCATTCCATAAAGCGGACGTTAACTGCTGAATTCCTCTCATAATACCGGAATGAGATCATCGAGGTACATTCCCACCAGGATGTTTCATAATTATGATAAGAAGCAAACAAGATTTGGAAAGACGGAAGATTATGGATACAAGAAAGCTTATGATTACCAAATGGAAGAATGAAGTCCTACGTATGCTCTGATACCAATCTGACACACCTCGATCCTAATGTCCGAGGGACATCGGGATGGCCACGTGCTAGTTGACACTCGAGGATGATGCAAGCCATTTAATGAATGCATATGCCAAGAGCATGTGAAGCATGCTTATAAATTTCACTCGAACTATATAACATAATAAAATAATATTCAACTGCCAACAATGAAAACAATAATGATAATGCATGACATGTTCAGAGCATACATCTAATTCAGAATATAAGTGGAAGGTAAAATTACAATGATGTCAAAGCAGAAGAGACGGCATGATGTCACTGGTAAGGGAATGCCTCGTAGTTCGAGTCGTAATCCTGGTTCCTATGTTTTGAGGGGGCGCAAAACAAACATGAGTGGATCAAGTTGATATATATATATATATATAAAATACTACAGTTATCAACATACTAACCCCCAAAATTTAATGAAAACTCATAGCATAATATGTAATAGGTTTCCGAAACCCTAGCATGCCATAAAACCTTCATAAAACATATCTCGTATATAGTGTGCTAACTAGTAGTATCCTAGCCACCCGTGGTGTTCAATAATTATATCTCTTGGCCCGTACAACCAACTACCATGTCTCTGCGCCCAAAGCTAGAGATTATTTCTCTCAACCAGAAGCCAACTCCTATCTTCGCCTGTAAGCAGAACAATGACCACTAGATGAGCACAAAACATTGAATATATACTTTCCAAACATAGGTACATATATCTCAAAAACATCTTCATAGCATATAGTAATCCATCATATATATTATAAAGAAGTATGCAAAAACATGTTCGTAAGCAGTATATAGTCATCGATCATATATACTACAAAGAACATTAGTTCGATAAAATATGGTAATTCACAATATCCTTAGTAAGCATAATGTCTCATAAAACGTTTTATAAAACGTAGTCATTAAATCTTGTTTTTCATGTATGCATTTCTACTATTAAAACATGCATTTTAGAAGAGTTCCACTCACAAATACTCCGTCGTCGAAGAGCCGTCCAAACTAGAAAAGACGGAATCGCCGTTAATATTCGCACCTAAGCACATAAAGCGTACAAGCAACAAAACTACACTCAAACGATTGAATTTCGAAAAACAGAAGTCATAAATGGGTTCAGGACGTCGAAAAACATAAAAGATGACCTCAGGTACAGTCACGTGCCGCCTCAAGGTGGTGGCTCCGGTGGCCACGAGTCGCCGTGGGTCTCCAGAAAATTTGCCGACCCCGTCGTGGATTGTGGCGCGTGTGCTCCACGCGCGGGCACCGACAGGCACCCATGCGCCTGCCATACGCAGGCTCACGCGCGACTGGGCTAGTGTTTTGACTGGGTTTAGGCTTGGGCCAAGGTATTGGGCCTCTGGGCTTGGTTTCCTTGGGCTTAAGCCTCTGGGCTTGGGCCTAGGATCCTGGGTTGAAAGCCCAAGTTCACACGATCCGAAGGCCGGGGGGTTCAAGGGTTTTGGGTCAAAGGGCCTGGGCTTGAAAGCCCGGCCCAAGATAAGGGTTTTGGGGTTTAAATAAATAAAATAAAAAGGTTTGGGCTTAGGGTAAAAAGGGTCGAAGGCCCAAGTTCCACTCAACCCCAAAGCCGGTTCCTTTAGGTTTTAGGGTTAGGGTTTCAAGGGAATTGGGCTTAAATGCAATGGCTCAAAGGCCCAAATCTACACGGCCCTAAGGGCCTGGGTTGGTTTCTCGCCGGGGAAGGAGGCTAGAGCCTCCCAAGCTCTGGTCGCCGTCGGTTGGTCATTAAACCCTCCGATCTAACTATAAAAAGACGATAGAGATGAGAGGGAGGGTCCCTTACCTTTGATTTGCCGTGAAATGGTCAGAGGTGGCCGGGTCTTGCTCAAAACCCACAGGGGTTCGCCGGAATCTCTAAGATTTTGCACCAGTTCCTTTGGTGCTGCACAAAGACGAGGGAGAGAGAAGGGTGGTCCTCTCGAGTTGGTGGTGGTATCGTGATGTTTTGGGTGTGGAGGTAGGTGTGTGTGTGTAGATCGAGGAGAGGGAGATCGGAGAGAGAGCAAGAGAGATAGAGAGCTAAGAGAAAAATAAAGAGAGTTGACTCGAGGGAGGGGAAAGAGAGAAGAAGGGAAGGGGGATGGGGTGCTGCAACATGGCAGATAAAGAGAGGAGGAGAATCTGGATAGGGGATCCAAATTGGGTAATAATTCCAGGGGTACATATGTAATTTCATTAATTTTTGGTATAAAATTACATAAACTTGGGGAGTGGTTTTACAACCTAACCTGGCCTCCTTGAATTAATTATGATATTATAAATGTTGTGACAATGATATTCGAACATAGAACTAACACTTGTTGACACATGCTCTAATACAAATGAAGTACGGCTCTATTAAAGAGTGTACATGCCAACAATCGTGTTAATTTTGTGTCTAAATAGTTATATTTTATTATTAATTCATGTTCTTCGTACATTTTTTAAATTTACTTCCAATCTCAGTCTGCTTAAGATAACACACATATAGTCCATCTAGAATATTTTAACCAAAAAAGTTATCAACTTTATTTCCTAGAAAGATTGCTGCAAATTTATTTTAAATTTTGGGCCTAATGTTTAACATTTTTTTCTTCATTTAATGAATATTACAGTTTTTTTTATAACTAATAAATAAGAGCGGTAAAATAGAGTATTAAGGAAATCTGATGGTAGCGTACAAACATGAAATGGAGTTCCATCATTAATTAGTTAGGTTCTAGACCGAGTCCAATTCTGCGTTACAAAGGCGGCTTCAAGCAAAAATTGGACTTTTTAAGTGCCAAAAATTAGGTAATTAGTTAAAGTAAAAATTAAGGAGATTTTGCACAAGTATCACCTAAACTTGCAAATATGTGCACCAATTCGAACTAAACTTTCAATTTTTATTTTTACCAACATGAACTCTCTTAACTGTTGGAATTTATCACCTATGTTATTTTTCATCCAAATTTTCGTTAAAACAAGTCACGTGGAGAGATATTTTTGTCAATTAACTTTCTAGGGCTTGCTGGAATCAATTTGTATGAAGGCAAAAGGCATTTTTTTAGTAACAGTGTTGGAGTCAGGTCATGAAGAGAAAGGGAGAAGTTAGGTTTCGAGTTTGGCAAGGGTTATTGAAGAATAGAAGTGAAAATTATGCAAAAATTTGGTCTTCCATTTACAGTAAGCTTTCAAGATTTGTTTTCTACGTCAGCAAGTGGATGCGTGTTCACCTTAATTTATTTATATATTAATTTTTCAAACTCTTAAGAGGGAATTGATGGACTAGAGTTGTACAAACCATCAATTTTGGCACCATATTGACTCATCAATCATTATGGAGTAAATTTGATTCTAGCCAGCCCATGAGCTACATGTGACATGTTTTAATGATAAAATGGATGAAAAGTAACGTAGGTGATATATTTCAAAAAAAGAAAAAGTTAAGACTGTCTAGATGGTAAAAAAATTAAAAATGAAAGTTGCAGTATTATTGTATATGGTTACAAGCACGTTTATTATTTCATGCTACTCTTTCAAAAGAGAGACTTGAATGTGATTAAACAAATGTTGGTTTGTAAGTCGTCGATTCTAAATTTCCAATGTAGTGTGAGCCTTCTTCTATAGGGTTGCTACTTCTTCGCTGACGAATGGCTCAGCTGGAAAGTTATGCATGACTTGCTGCATATACTTTCCAATATCATTGCTTTAGTGTTTTTTGGCCATTTGGCTTTTCAACTTCAAACTTGATCGCAATAGCCACCAGATTTTCTACCAACCCCTTTTTCGTGGGAGCTATTTTTGTCAATGGTTATCAATTTGACAGTCACTTCTAACACTCTGGATGTTGACTTTTCCCTAAAAAATATCTAAGGTTTGAAAGTGATGTGGGAGCTATTTTTCTCAATGGTTATCAATTTCATAGTCACTTCTAACACTCTGGATCTTGACTTTTCCCTAAAAAATATCTAAGGTTTGAAAGTGATGTGGGAGCTAGTTTTCTCAATAGTTATCAATTTCATAGTCATTTCCAACACTCTGGATCTGACTTTTCCCTAAAAAATATCTAAGGTTTGAAAGTGATGTGGGAGCTAGTTTTCTCAATAGTTATCAATTTCATAGTCATTTCCAACACTCTGGATCTTGACTTTTCCCTAAAAATATATATAAGGTTTGAAAGTGATTTTATTGTTTCGACAAAAAAAGAAAGAAAGTGATTTTATTGTAAAACACATTTCATGTGTGATTTTAGTTCTCTCAATCAGGGATGGAGTCACAATACGAAATTAACAAGTTTTCAGGTTGACACGATAACGAATCAAATCGTTATCGAGTAATCCGATAAGCACCTGTTAAAATAATAGGTTAGTTCATGTATACACGTGAGTAACTTGTTACACGATAAAAAAAAAAATTTAATAATTTTATACCACAAAACATAATACTAAACTTAACAGCAGTAGGATTTTATCCTCTAAAAATATTAATTTAATAATTTCTCATCTTGATAATTCAAATACTCCAGTGTATTCGATGCCTAATCATCAAACAAAAGGTGGAGTTGTTCTCTTTGAGGTAACCTAAGTTTGTTTTTGTTTTACTTTGTACATGTAGTATTGTAAAAAAAAAAAAGTGTTGATATTACATTTGAAATTGGCATGATGCATAATTCTTATTATGTTTTTTTTTAATTTTTTATAATTTAGGATTTTGATAATAATTACAATGGTTCAAGTTTGATTGGAAAAAAGTGAATTGCAGAAGCATTTGGAGGATAAAAGAATAGATAAAAAAGTAGACATAAATGTTCTTCCTTAGTGACAAATCGAGCGTTTTCATTATCTGATACTTTCTCAGTTAGCACGAGATGTGTTAACAATTCTCTTTCAACTGTTGCATCATAATTTGCATTTAGTATTGGGGGTAGAGTACTGGATTAGTATTGTAGTTTATTGTTGTCAGAAACATTTCAAGCTTTGTTGGGCACACGAGATTAGCTCGTTGGAAAATGAGGTAATATGTTTTTATATGGTATAGTATTATTGTTTTATTTCTTTTTATAATTATATTTCGTAAACTTCTCATAATTTGAATGGTTTATAATGTTTGGTTTTTCTATGCTTGGTTTATGTAAAAGAGAGTTCTGATGAGGAAAGTCTTATTGAAAACATCATCAATATAACTCTTAAAGACAAGTCAAAGTTCCAATGCAATTTCTCCATGACGATCGATGAAACTTGAAGGATTTTGTAAAAAGAATGACATGCAAGTTTTGAATTTCATTGGGAAGGTTTTAACTTCTTAGAAAGGTTTCACAACCTTGAAAAGAAAAACTCCTTCATTTTGCATATCCATACACATTTGATATTTTGTAGTAGACTGGTATTTCTCACTACCCTCATAATTGTTTGGATTTTTTTCTTCCTTTTTTTTTCTGTACATTTTCAAATTGCTTGGAAGGGAGAGAGTGACAATACTCAATATATAAAACACAAATTAATTAGCCAAAGTATAGAATAACGATGATCAAATCATAATGGTTGTACAATCAAATTACTGTGATATTTTTCTCTTCAGAAAAGTAGTCACGGTCAACACAGCTTGAATGTAAGGGAAGGACACAGCAGGAGCTGTGGTCTAATATTCAACTCCTTATTAGATCCCGCCGTCGGCCGGGTTTCTTTCTTATGTATTTGTGTAATAGATAATCGATTTCTTCACAGCCAAAAGAAAAAACAAGAAAGAAACTTGGTATCTTATTTGCTCTGTGTTTTAAAAAAGAATGGAGCATTCAAGTAGCACTCAAACCAAGCTGCTTGTGTTTATACACTTTTATGGCTTGATTCTTTTGTGCATGAGCGCCGCAGGTCTGGAAGCTTCGACACCCCCTAGCAGTAGCACTGCCCTTGGAAATGAAACTGATCGCATGGTGCTGCTTGACTTCAAGAAAAGAATCGTTGACGATCCTTTTCTTATCATGAGCTCTTGGAATGATTCTGTCCATTTCTGCAGTTGGGTAGGCGTTACATGCAACAATTCCATCAAAAGAGTCTTGACGATGGAGCTGCAGTCTCAGAAATTGGTCGGCTCCATACCACCTTCTATTGGAAATCTTACTTATCTTACTGGAATCAATCTGAGAAAGAACAATTTTCGTGGTGAAATTCCTCAAGAATTGGGTCGTCTACAAAGCCTGCAACACCTCAACCTGTCTGTCAATTCCTTCAGCGGGAAGATTCCAACTAATATTTCTCACTGTACAGAACTAAGAGTGCTTGACCTTTACTCCAATACACTTATTGGGCCGATTCCAGACCAACTCAGTTCGTTGTTGGATTTAAATATTCTATGGTTTGATACAAACAATCTCACTGGAACTATCCCAAGTTGGATAGGAAACTTTTCTTCTTTGTATAGTCTTTATATTGGTGGAAACAACTTTCAAGGAAGTATACCCAATGAGCTCGGGCATCTTACAGGCTTGCAAGCATTCTCAGTTGCAGAAAACAATCTGTCTGGTAAGGTCCCTCCTTCAATCTATAATATTTCTTCCATATCCATTTTCGGTGTCAGTCAGAACCAGCTTCATGGAGAGCTACCGCCAAATGTTGGCGTTATTCTTCCTAATCTCGAACAATTTCATGTTGGTGGCAACAAATTCACAGGAAATATTCCTGCATCGTTCTCAAATGCTTCTAGACTTCTTTATCTCAATTTGCCTGAAAATGATCTCACTGGAACAGTTCCTGGTGAAAGCCTTGGAAGATTGCGAAGCTTAGTTGGACTAAACTTTGGTGTTAATAGACTAGGAACTGGAAAAATTGGTGACCTGAATTTCATCAGCTTCTTGGCTAATTGTACAAGTCTGGAGGAGTTGGGTCTTCACCATAACCAATTCAGAGATGAATTGCCAAAGTCCATATCCAACCTTTCCACCCAACTAACCTCTCTTACAATGGAGAAAAACTTGATATATGGAAGCATGGATAGAGGCATCAGCAATCTTGTAAACTTGACCGTATTTGGAATAAACTATAACTTTCTCAGCGGTAAGATCCCTGAAGAAATTGGGAGGCTTCAGAAGTTAGGGGAACTATATTTGGATGACAACAAGTTTTATGGGCCAATTCCATCTTCCTTAGGTAACTTGACTTCATTGACAGAGCTCTACATCAGCGGCAATAGGCTTGAGGGAAGCATTCCTCCAACTCTTGCTAACTGCCAACGTCTATTGGCACTTGACCTGTCCCGAAACAATTTAACAGGCACCATACCTCAAGAGGTTATTGGGATTTCATCTCTTTCAATTTATTTGCTCCTGTCTAACAATTACTTGACTGGTTCACTACCAGCTAAAGTGGGCGATTTGGTACAAATAGTGGAGCTAGATGTGTCTGTAAACAACTTGTCGGGTGAAATCCCTACGACACTCGGCAATTGTATTATGTTGGAGCGCTTGTACTTGGCAAATAACAAATTTGAAGGAACAATTCCTCAATCTCTCAAAAGTTTAAGAAGCTTGGAAGAGATGGATATTTCGAGCAATAATTTTTCTGGGCAAATTCCTGAATTTATAGGCAAGTTAAGTTTTCTCAAGAATCTCAATGTTTCTAATAATAATTTCCAAGGCGAATTACCTAAAGAAGGGATCTTTCTAAATGCAAGTGGTCTCTCAATTCTTGGAAATGGCAAGCTTTGTGGTGGCATCCCACGATTAAGTCTACCTCCATGCTCCAACATAAAGGCTCATTCATCTCGAAGATTACTTGCCCCAAAAGTAGTTATCCCTGCAGCTTGTGGACTTGCATTCATAATTGCTCTGTCATGCTTTATTGTTGCACGTTCAATGCTTAAGAAGCCAAGAGGTTTACCGGCAAGTTCACGTTCTTATAAGGATTGGAAATCAGGTGTCTCTTACAAAGAACTTGTTGAGTCAACTAACAGGTTCTCTAGAGAAAATCTGATTGGTTCAGGAAGTTTTGGTTCTGTTTACAAAGGAGTACTCCCTAGTGATGGAAATGTAGTTGCAGTTAAGGTATTAAACCTTCAACAACAAGGAGCTTCCAAGAGTTTCATTCGTGAATGTGAAGCTTTAAGAAGTATAAGGCACCGTAATCTTCTCAAGATCATAACTGCTTGTTCAAGCATTGACAATCAAGGCAATGACTTTAAAAGTCTAGTGTTTGAGTACATGGTAAATGGAAGTCTGGATGTGTGGTTGCATGATGAGGAATCTCATAGCAAGAGGTTGAGCTTTATCCAAAGACTCAATATTGCAATTGATGTTGCTTCTGCATTGGATTACCTCCACCACCATTGTGATACGGCAATTGTTCACTCTGATCTAAAGCCAAGCAATGTTCTCCTTGATGAAGATATGGTGGCTCATGTTGGTGACTTTGGTTTAGCACGGTTCCTCTTGGAAGCATCAAATAACGCCTCCCCAAGTCAAACCATGTCAGCCGTGCTCAAGGGTTCCATAGGCTACATTCCTCCGGGTATGAATTTATTTGGTTATCCTTTTTCTTCCCATTAACTTATTGGTAGCCAACTTAATTGTGTCTGTATTAGTATTTAATAAAACAGAAAAACGTAAATGATTATTTTCCTTGAAAATGAATCATCAGAAAACACTGAAATACATTTAGAATTCTAAACATTTGACTGTGACATCCTAATGCGAGTATTGAATGGCAGAGTATGGCATGGGAGGCCAAGTCTCCACACTAGGAGATGTTTATAGCTTTGGAATACTGTTGCTAGAAATGTTCACTGGAAAAAGACCTACAGATGACATGTTCAAGGATGGTCTAAGCATTCACCAATTTGCAGCCATGGCGATGCCCGACCATGCCGGTGACATAGTTGACCCTTCATTACTCTTTGAAAGAGAAGAAGCAGATGCTAATGATGACAGATGCAGAAATGATGTACACGAAAAACCAATTATAAAATATCCGGACCGCAGCTCTGTCCAAGGAAGAAGCTTGGAGGAATGCTTGGTTTCTGTGGTGCAGATAGGACTCTCTTGCTCTGCAATTTCACCAGGAGATCGGATGCTTATGGATGTCGTCGTCAACAAAATGAAGGCAATAAGGGACTCGTATCTGAAAATTCGATAAGAAGAAGCTTTGTAGTATATGAGATACGAATAAGTTTGTTCTGTTTATGCTCTCTCTGTTTTGTATGGTACTAACTACTAGAGAAAAGCCAGGTGCAGTACATTTGTGTGAAACTGATGAGATGCCCCTAGTCTCGCCAATTTTTTAACCATTGTTTCTCTCTTCATTCATCTATCGTTCTTTTACTTTTACTTTTTTGACATGAGTTACCTGGTAGTAGTAAAAGATTTCGACTCTATCTTGCACTTATGTGAAATTCAATTTTTTGTTGAACCAGTTTTTTCTCAATATTTGGAGTTGTAGATAGAACGAAATTACTTTTGATGTTCTGGGTCTGAAATCGTTACCTTTTTGTAATATTTTCTGTTTATATCCAGAAGGCGCTCGACGATATACTACATAATCCTAATTGCAGAAGTGACCGCCACCATTTCAGTCTATTTGATTTGCTTGGAATGTCGTAAACTCCTATTTATTGTTGGTTCGTACCTACTGAATTATAGACTGATGAAGTACCCGAAATAAATTAATGGAAATCAGTTACAAGAATCTGTATATTCGAACAGACAATAATATGATTTAGAGCTTCCAAATCTTAATTTCTACGCAAATAACCCCACTGTCTCTCAAAGAATTGAAATTTAGGAAATCATAGTCTGCTGCATTGGCTTTAATTAGTTCAATGCAACAAACAAGCAACAATATTGTCTCTGAATAATTGCGGTTCATTGACAAATTGATCCAAATGTTTTGATGTGGGGGACGTTCCACGTCCTACAGCTACATCCATCGTCATACTCCGAGGAGCTAATATTGCCCAATCGTCTATTTTATTATAAAAAAGATCCAAAAGTGATTACATGATTCATTGATTCTCATAGTAGCATAATTGTTTGAATTTTTTGTCCATCCACTCAAAATTTTCTACAACAAACTCAATGAAGCTCTCTCTCTGGTTTTTTTTTTCGGGGATAAGATTTCTTCTTTATGCACACTGCTATCATTACTTGAATTCTTTGTCCTTCCACTCAAATTTTTGACGACGTTACGAACTTTCTTATTTTGCCTGAATTTTTAAAGAGAAATTTTATTTGAACCCATTTAACCTCTTTCTTTCTACACCCAACTTACTCTCTACACCCATATTACTTTGAATTAAATTCTCAATATCTCTTTACACCCATTTAGAAAATAAAGACCCAAAGTTAGCATTCTACAACTCATTCTATGCGGTAGATGCACTCAATCTTTTATGAAAAATAGCATCCGTTCAATGTCTACCATGGCATGCACGTGAAGTGTTCATTTTTACCTCACCACAACCGAAAGAGACAAAGATTATCTTAAACTCTTTGCCTTCCACTCTAAGCATTTCATGAAGTCACGTTCTTGCAATGTTGAGGGGTAATTGCAAGGCCTAAACCAATTTGTAGAGAAGTAGAGGCACCGTTTCTCCCCATTAAATGACGATAAGGGTACCTAATAATCTCGTAATCAAAATAAGATTATGTTTTAATTATCATAATCAAGATAAAAAAATTCAACTCTAAAATTGAAGGCATTTTTTTTCATGCTATGAACCTACTTGAACCTCACGTTCCTATATTTTAATGAAATCAAAACATTTTTGACATCCAAACAACCGAATTAAATTATGAAAAACAATATTGATTGAAACAAGAGAAAGAAGGGGAACCTTCTAGAGACTACATACATTTGTTTCACCGGATAGAAGGATCTCAACACGTTTAAATTCAAGAACAGTAGCTATAGTGCTGCTATGCACTGCCATTAAAACTACAAGCAAAGTATAGCCTCCACCCTTCACGAATAAAAGGAGAAGAAAGTGTGACATTCGCACAAGTTGCTAGACTTTAAAATTTTAAATCCCATAAATATGTTTCTGCTAGTAATTATGCCTTAGAAAATGTGCTGATTTTGTTCCTAAATCCTAATAAAAATTGAAATCAAACGAAAAAAAAATATTGCAAAAATCGATTCAGTTGGAGGATTCAAAACTTCTAAATCGCCATCCATCGTTCAAAAAGAGCTTGTTTTTCTCTATGAAAGCGTCTTAGGTTTTAGTTAGAATAAACGTAGGATAAAGATTCCATGATGGTAGGGTTTGATTATTAGATGTGGGTTTATTGATAAATTTTAGTTTATTGTTAATTTCATCTTGTAGTTAGTGGTAATTATACAATAAGGTAAAAAGGACAATTCACATTCAAAGTTTTCTTTCTAATGTATTTGTGTAATCGACAATCGATTTCTTATTTTCACAGCCAAAAAAAAAAAAAACAAGAAAGAAACTTTGTATCTTATTTTCTCTGTGTTTTCAGAAACGATGGAGCATTCAAGTAGTACTCAAGTTAGGCTGTTTAAACTCTTTTATGGCTTCATTTTTTTGTGCATGAGTGCCGCAAGTCTGGAATCTGCGACACTCCCCAGCAGTAGCACTACCCTTGGAAATGAAGCTGATCGCATGGTGCTAGTCGACTTCAAGAAAAGAATCGTTGATGATCCTTTTCTTATCATGAGCTCATGGAATGATTCTATCCATTTCTGCAGTTGGGTAGGCGTTACATGTAACAATTCCACCAAAAGAGTCTTGACGTTGGAACTGCAGTCTCATAAATTGGTCGGCGCCATGCCACCTTATATTGGAAATCTTACTTATCTTACTGGAATCAATCTGAAAAGGAACAATTTTCATGGTGAACTTCCTCAAGAATTGGGTCGTCTACAAAGCCTGCAACACCTGTCAATTCCTTCAGCGGGAAGATGTTGACAAATCAATGAGATCTCAATCGGAACAAATCCCTAATTATTTGTATATTTAGCTTTTTATGTATTGGCCTAGTTAGGAAGTCAACTCCAATTTCTATAAAGTTGATTGTGCATATCAACTGTATATATTTCTCCATCACGTATCAAAGAAGTACAAAATTATTCCATTCAAGCATTCTCTTCTTGGCATCAGAGCCTAGGTTTTGAGAAAAAAAACACAATAAATAAATAAATAAATAAAAAGACGAGGTTGTGCTCTATACGGAGAACCATAACTACCAGCCGCACAGCCAATTGTGCAGTGTCATTTGACCAGCGAGCAATGTCGTCGTTGCTGACCCAAACTACCAGCAACGCACCCAATTGTGTAGTGCATCGTTCGACCATCGAGCGACGCCGTCATTGCTAATCTAAGTTCACCAAGCCGCTCCCTACATCCACCACCATGAACCAAGATTCAACCTGCTACCTGAAATTTGTCCTACATTCTGACCTATGAATCTGTTTAACGTGCCCAGATTCGATTGAAGTCGTTATGTTTAGTTTATGTGCCCAGACTCCGTGACTGTTGGAGTGAAATTTCTTACGGGAAGAAATACCTCCACATATTTGTTGACTGCAATCCTCACGTTGGCCGAATCCCTCGTAAGAGGCGTCCCCAAACAATCTTTCTCCGTAGCTTGTCTGGGCGGGGTATCTGCAAGAGATACTCTGACGCTCAAGTTAGTCTATTGATTTTCTATTCTCTGGTTTCTCTCGAGTTCTGATTGCGTTGTCTGTGGAAGGATCTCTTCGAGGATGAATTATGTAACTCGAGCTCTTAATTCTGTTGCTGATAGAATGGTCTCTCTGGGAAAGAGTTACGCAGCTCGAGCTCCTGACTCTATCGCTCATTCTCCCAACCCTTATGCAAGAGATGAAGCGGGTTCTTCTCGCACACCTTCCCCTCGCCACCTATGTTGCCCTCAATGCTTTGACTACTCCTTGTTATTGGACGAGTGTGAAACTCTAAAGGGATACTTGCAATGTGCTGAACACTAGGTGGATCGTCTCATAGGGGAATTGATGGTTGTTGATCGTGCCATGTCCGTTGCTCACTCAGATGGCATACATGATGGTTTTAAACAAGGCATTCACTATTTTCGCTCTAAGTTTAAGGCGACCTTTCTTTCCATAAACTGGGATAGTTTCCCCATCCCGTTAGATTAGATGTCATCTTGCTTGTAATAAGTTGGACCCTGAGGTCCAACCACTATTAGGATATCTAGTAGTGATGTTGTCCTTGTTTTCACCTTCTACTAGTAGGTTTATTTCTTCTTTCATTCTTATCTTTTATCGCACTATGTATCCAACGTCTAATAGGTTTTCCTCTTGTAAATTAAAGATATTTCCTTTTACGGGCGGAAAAAACAATGTCCCACTGCTTGAGCTTTTACTTTTGCACACGTAATGCTCTATTTTCCCTTACAAACACACGACGTGTTCGGGGAGGAAAATCGTTCTTTGCAAAGATTTATTTAATTCGCCGTTTCGTTATTGTTCTTAAACTATTCAACCTTGAATTCTTCTCTTAATCAGGTATTTACCTATTCGATCTTGGATTTTCGATCTTGGTCGGTCTTTACTCATTCGATCTTGGGTTTTCTTTTCCCACTCAATCTTAGATTTTCGATCTTGATTGGGTCTTTGCCCATTTGATCTTGGGCTTTCTTTCCCACTCAATCTTAGATTTTTGATCTTGATTGGGTCTCTGTCCATCCAATCTTGGGTTTTCTTTTCCCACTCAATCTTACGTTTTGGATCTTGATTCGATCCTCAATCCATGGTTTATGCTTTTTAGCCTTAGACTTTAGTCAAAGATTTGAATGAAGTGCAACTTTATTTATCATACAATAAGGAGATGTTAGCAGACATCTAGGGATACACCATTTAACATGTCAAGAAGATAAGAAGGTACCCTTCAACATTGCTGGAAACAGAAATTTAAATACAGAAAACACAAACATGAAAAGCTAAATGTGGTGCTTTCTCAAATGAATTGCGCTCCAAGAGCGTGACACATACTGACCTATTTCAACGTGCCTGAGTTTATAAGCTCCATTTTCAAAGGCTTCGGTCACCTTATATGGTCATTTCCATATGCGTCCAAGCTTTCCTTCATTCAAATCTTTTGTGTTTTCCATGACCTTTCTCAATACCCATTCACCTACGTTGAACCTTTTTGACTTGACCCGTTTGTTGAAGTAAGTGGCAACTTGGTTTTGGTAGTTCTCAAGTCGTAGTGCAGCAATTTTCTTTTTCCTCGACTAAGGCGAGGTTATGGACTAGTTGCTGATCGTTCTTGCCATTTTCCATAACTAAGGTTCTGATCATAGGTAGA